ACTCACATGAGTTCTCTGGTTTTGGTGGTATGAGCTTTGGAGTGGTCTCTTCATTCATTCACACATGATAGTGTGTATAGTAATAGTGCTAATTGGGTTGTTTGATGATCAAATGAGTTAATGCACGTGAAGCAGTTAGAATGCTGGTATGTAGTAAGACCCTTTTAAGTGTTAGCCATTGTTATTATTATTAGTCTTTTTTTTTTTTTAAACCTCTTTCTCTGATCTGCTTGTACTCACTGGCTTCAGCTGCTGAAAATAGCTTGTAAGATTTTCCTTGTGCCCTTTGCTGTCAGTGCCATGGGGAAGATCTATTCATTTTTTCAGATAAACAACATATTTTGAGCATCTGCTGCCCTACAGGTCTTAGATGTGGGGGCTGCAGAGATGTCTAGGAACATAAGCTTCAATTCATTGGGTCAGATCAATGCTCAGCAGGACTGGCAAGTGCTAGGTTTCTCTTAAGTGGCATATCTTAAAACGTGTAAGTCCCAAACATAATTTTGTGAGAGGCAGCATAATGGGTACAAAGCACAAATTTAGGGATAAGTAGATCTGGGTTCAAATGTTGGTGCAGTCTGCTATGGCTCATATCTTGTCCAAACCTGTTTTCTCACTTCTAAAATGGTAATAATACAACCTACTTTATAGGGCTGTTATGAATTAAATGTTGGAGATGAGTATACAGTAGGTGCACAGTATTGAGTGTAACTATTATAAATCAATAGGCTATGAGTTTATCTTACCTCTGTGGAACCTGTTGATGTTTTTAGACCATGACACTTAGTAGGGCCATTTTCTACCTGAGCCACCTGCCATGTCAAATATAATTTCATGTGTCCTTCTGAGTTGGGAAGAATTGACTGCTAATCTTAACCCTGCCATTTATTAGCTCTGTGATTTGCCTTTCTCCAGCCTTAGACTTGCCACATATATAAGGGGGGAACCCCACAAAACCCGGAATTATCTTTTTGGAGGGTGAGTCCCTTGCTGTACAGGCTTCCCCCGCTAAGTAAGTTTTCTAGGAACCTGTTGGCATCAATTGTACCAGTTAGTGTTATTGTGAGAGGCTGCAATTGGCTTCATTGAATTTTTTTTGGTGGCAAACAGGTGACTGGTTCTTTCACCATGGCAGCGTACCTGCTCACATTGTGCTGGATGTACAGCAGTTTTTGACCAAAAAACGGCATGACCCTGGGCCCTACCCTCCCTATTCACTGAATCTCGCCCTGAAATCTGACCCCTGAGCAACTTTTTTTGTTTTATTTCCCTGAATAAAAAAGTCCTCAAAGGGAAATGTTTTACCAGTGTGGAAGAGGTGAAACAAAAAATAGCAGAAGCACTAAAAGACATCAAAATGACTGAGTTCAAAAACCATTTGAGCAGTGGAAAAATTGTCTCGATTGGTGTATTGTATCAAACAGAGAGTACTTTGAAGGTGACTGAAGTTTAAACATGTGAGACTAAATATATAATCTTTTATAAATCCAGGTTTTTTGGGTTCCCCCTGTAAAATGGAGAAAATAGTGGTTCCTACTTCACAGGGTTGTTTTGAATATTAAAAAACTAATCCATATAAAATGTGCCTAGTACATATTGGGCTCTAAATAAATGGTAACTACTATTTTTTTATAAAAGTGCAAATGGTAGTTTCAGAGCTTCAATATTGATGACTATTTATCTTACTTATACTCTTCATTGAATTTTGTCTTTTTTCCCTGAGTTTATTATTCTTTTCTGAATTTATTTGTAGTCACACCACTTAAAAAAGCTTTTGTTTCTTTCTACCTTTTTATTTTTTATTTTTATTTTTATTTTTTTTTTGAGTTGGAGTCTCACTCTGTTGCCCAGACTGGAGTGCAGTGGCCGCTCCTGGCCACTGCAACCTCGACCTGCTGGGCTCCAGTGATCCTTCCGCCTCAGTCTTCGGAGTAGACGGAATTACAAGTGTGCGCTACCACGCCCGGCTGATTTTTTGATTTATTGTAGAGCTGAGGTCTCGCTGCCCAGGTGGGTCTTGAACCCGCGGGCTCAGGCAATCCGCTCACCTCAGCCTCCCAAAGGTGCAGGATTACAGGCTGAGTCACCGAGCCCGGCCTTTCTACCTTTTAAAATATTTGCAAGTGCTTTTATTTACTACAGGCTTGGAATGCATACAATTTTGTGTTCTGCTTTTTTCACTTAATATTATGTGGCTAAGGGTGTCTCTATTCATAAACATTGTTATAATGACTGCATAATATATTATTGAGTGGATAGATGTACCATAATTTAATCATTTCCCTATTGCTGCGTAATTATTTCCCATATTTTGCAATTATAATGTTTCAGTGAATGAATAATTTCATGCATATCACTTTTTGATATTTTAAATGTAGCTCCCTAGAATGCATTCTCAGGAATATTGCTTGAGCAAAAGGGATAAACATGACTTTTGACTACATATTATCAAATTGCTTTCCCAAAGGGCTTAACTGACTTATATTTCCATGTTCATCATTTTATAAATTTTAGCTCATTCCCCTTACTCAACAAACACTTTTGAAGCCTTTATCCTGTGACAGGCTTAGTGAGAAGAAAGTGACCCTAGGGGAGGAGCTCATACATGAATAGGGCCCCTGCAGGGCCAAGTGCTGATAAAAGCATAGCATACCTGGGGATCTCAGAAGAGGGAGTCCCAGTTCAGCTGGTAGAAAAGTTTATTTTTATAGAGCCATGGTTGTGTTCTTTGGCAGAAAGGAAATTGCTTTTCTCCCCCCTCCCAGTTTTAAGTATAATTGATGAATAAAAATTGTATATCTTTAAGGTGTACAATGTGATATTTTGTTATACATGTATGTCAGCTTAAAAATAAGTCACAGAATAAAATGATGGTCTCTGTGAACAAAAAAGGAATGTCATTTGCAAGCTACTGTGTTGCTACTTTGGGCTTAATTACAGAAATATTAGCAGACCTAACCCCATCTTTGGTCTTGAGGACCCCATTGTCAGCATGCTTTCTTCCAGAGATGGTTCTACTAGCCTCCTTTTTCCTTCCTGATATGCTGTCTGTGCAAACATTTCTTCATAGTTTTATGATAACAGTGTTTTTTGGTCCACGAGACAAGTAGTATATGTTCATTATGGAAAATTCAGAAAACGCAGAAAATATTAAAAACATTACCTGTGGTCTTATCATCCTAATACATCCACTGTTGTTATCTTACTGCATTTCCTTTTAAAAATATTTTTAAGAGTTTAAGGTAGAACCATATCGAAGGTCTTTGGAAATTAGAAAATGGTTATTTAAAACACCAGAAATCAAACAACATACAAACAAAACAAATTCTCAAAACAATCAGAAGCACCAACAATAACAGAAAGGTTAAATTATGATCTATTCATAGAGTGGACTATCAAGTAACCATTAAAAGCTGTATTTTAAGAGCATTTTTTTAATGTCACGGAAAATGCTTCTAGTATGATATTAAATAAAAAAGCAGGATATAAAACCATATATGCTATATAATCTCAATTTTGTAGTGGAAAAAATATTATTTATGTTTGTGTAAAAGACAAATGATATTAACAGAGAATCATTGTTTAGTTTACTTTACTAAGGATGGCTTGTATTTACCTTTTAAAAACTTTTCTGTATTTTTTTCTTTTTTTGAGTTGGAGTCTCACTCTCTCACCCAGACTAGAGTGCAGTGGTTGCTCCCAGCCACCGCAGCCTTGCCCTGCTGGGCTCCAGCTATCCTTCTGCCTCAGCCTTCCAAGTAGCTGGAACTACAGGCACGCGCTACCATGCCCGGCTAATTTTTGACTTATTGTAGAGATGAGGTCTCGCCAAGTTGCCCAGGAGGGTCTCGAACCCGCGGGCTCAGGCAATCCACTCACCTCAGCCTAAGCACTGGGATTACAGGCTGAGCCACCGAGCCCGACTGTATTTTTTTCATTTTCACATTTCCACAATAAAAAACATATGGACCTGAAGATCAAGAAAAATCTTTTGCTTTAAAAAAAAAAGGGGATTTCATAATCTCTTGACTTTGTGACTCTGAAGCCACAGTTATAATTACTAGTAAACCCAAGCCCCCATGACTCTTCCAGCTCTTTAGTGTTCATCCTAATAAGAAGGTTGGAATCTAGAAAGAGGTGAGAGACTTCAGGCAGCTTAACTAGTTGTCTGAACACTACTAGTTCAGTTAAATTATGTCTAGTGATTTCCATCTTGTCCCTCTGCTGCTTTATCCCCTGTGGAGAGACCTCATTGCTTTAACCAGTGGATCCTGCTTGCTTTTAAGTTTAATGATCTTGTAACTCATTGGAGAAGATAGACCAGACTGGATATGCGGGGAGGACTTTGCACTCTTCAGAGCTCTTTCCAGTCCTGGGTGCACATGGGTCAATATGGAACTATGTGTGGATTTCCATAGTCCTTTGGAGCCCTCTTCTCATTCCCATAGGTAGCGAACTTAATGTGCAGTGAAAGGAGCAGAGGTGGTGTGGATTTAGCATTGCAGGCTGCCCTGATCCTCTCCTTTTAATAGTCAGTACATAACTGGCACTGTGCTGACAATGGGAATGCAAAGAGATTCGACTGGGTGCTCTTAGTGACGTGAGGAAGTCAGTGATGGAAGCAGATGACTTCAGGTGCTCCAGGACAATGCTATGGGAGGAGTGTGCATGACTTTCTGTGGGAGCACAGGGGAAGGGCTTCTAGCTCAGGTTGAGATTTTGATACAGGAAATTACACCTGGTTGAGTCTTGAAGAATGAGTAGAAGTGAGCCAGATGAAGCAGAATGGGTATTATCTTCCCTTACTTAAGGAAGGAACAGAGTTACAGAATGGTATATTATAGGGTGAGAACTGTAAACGGTATAGTGCTATTAAAGCTAAGAGAATGGTGGGGGAGACTGGAGAAGTTGATCAATTGTTATATAAATGTTTCTATGAATTTCCCAAAGCCCAATGCTGTTTTTTAAGTTCATGGGGTTCTGCATTATTTCCCATTCAGTGTCAGCTGCTGCTCGAAGTGGCCTGGCCTCTCTTTATCTTCCTGATCCTGATCTCTGTTCGGCTGAGCTACCCACCGTATGAACAACATGAATGTGAGTAACTGTGGATACTACCTGAGACTCGCCATTGGTGAGGGAAATCCAGTAAATGAACATGGGCTAAATTTGACTCTTCCAAAGAGACTGTCTTTAGGGAACTCCATAAATGGCTTGGAGTGGAAAATCTAGGATTCTAATATTTTGATAATGCATGAGCTCAGGAAACTATTTCCAGTCCTAGTGAATGGTGATAATAGTAATTATGACGATAGCCAACATCTGCTTCACACATTTTAAACCATGAAAATGAAATACCTTACTGATAGTTCAGAAAGTAGTGATTAAAAACACCCTTTAGGCAATGCCTTAACACCTGTTTTTTTCCATATGTGTTATGTCTTTATCATATAGTTGCAAATCATGGAACACATAATTTTAAGCAGTATTTGTGTAGAACTTATCAGTTTGACTGATATTATTTTATTTTATTCTCATAACAGCCTTGAACAGTAGACTTTGTTATTATTATCACTTACTTTAGTTTCCTGATAAATGAATTGGGGCTCAGAGTGGTACAGGACTTGCCCAAGGTCACACGTCTAGTAAGTGATAGAGATGAAATAAAACTCAGGTCATCTGACTCACAATCATGTGCTTTGATAATGACCTTCAGAGTGAAAAAAATACAGTAGTAGCTAAGAACTTGTGTTCCAGATGTCAGGTTATCTGGGTTTAAAGCCTGGCTTCAGTATTTACTAGGCATATCACCTTGGGCAAGTGACTTCAGCTTCTTTTTTAAAAGGGAATAGTAATACCTACTTCATACTATTATTTTCAGTGTTATTATTCACAATCACAATCTTTCTCTTATGACTGGGTTCAATGGATGGATTGACACTGCAGAAATGTCCCAATCTAAAGGATCAACATTTGTGGGAGGTTTAGCTAGGACCTCACTTTCATGATCCTGGCAATTTTTCCTGCTACTGACCGGCTCCACCCACACCCCTACAAGACCCATAGACTTACAAGATACTATGGTTCTTTCAGGAAAGCAGTGGGGCCAGGGCCACCTTTTTAATTTTGTTTCTTGATCTGGGCCCATCTCTTTCACATCACATAGCTGCAGTTAGTTACATGCTAACTTGCTAAGATTCAGCATACATATTCAAATTAAAGACAAGTACACACACACACACACACACACACACACACACACACACACACACCCACCCTCCCTCAAGAACATTCCTCCAGACATGATTTTCTGATTTCATCAAAAAGGCAAAGAGCATAAAGTGAAATCTGTATTCAGTTTACATGCATTTGAGAAAATTCCCTTTTTTGTCTTGGAACCCCAAAGACTTTGTTGATTGATGAACAAATCCATATTTGATTTTATTTAAGTATTAGCTTGTGCCTCACTGAAGTATGTGTTTTAGGGAAAATTCAGGTTTTTAAAAATCTACTAGGCTATTTTCTTTCTGGAATGATCACAAGCGGGCAAGACAATGTAATGGAAAGAGCACAGATTTTGGCATCAGACACATTGGGGTTTGTTTTGATTCTGGCTTTGTCACTTGCCAAAATTGTGATCTTGGGCAAGTGATTGAGTTTTGACCCAGATTCCTCTGACTCCAGACCGTACATTTTCAGAAATGTTGTGAAGTTCTTATATGTATAGAAGGCAGATAAGACTTTTCCCATACATCTATGCACTTTATACAACCTTACCTCCTGTTCTCATTGGCATGTAGGGACCTAGTTGGAAGGGTCGAGTTGAAAGTTACACTGAAGCTTGCTGAGGTGTCTTGTCTCTGGGAACAAAGGCCTGCTGTAAAATTTCTCCCCATCAACCTTTTCCAGTTCAAACCAGAGCCATCAAGGTTGTAATAACTTCCCTGGGTCCTGAGAGTCCATCATGCTGTTTGTCATCCTGTGCACCCATTGCCTGGTCCTCATCCTACTTTTGTTTGCAAATACGATGGGACATAACATACAAGGGAGAGCCTTTGCTTCTCCCACCAAAGGGTAGTTAGAAATACCTTCACCATCACTGCCCTACCTGCCTTTGACCTACACCAGCCTGTCTATAGTGCCAGTATCTCCTGGTATTAAAAGGGGAGAATATTTCGGTCCTTCGAGTATTTGGTTGGATTACATAAATCTCCCCTGAATGGGGAGCAGCTGACTTAGGCAAGGGGCCTTGTTTGGTTTTCCTTGAACTATTAACAGGGAGATAAGGAGATTGAGTAAATGTTCAACGGGCCAGAGTCCCTGAATAGAGTGACCACAGTGGTCAGATCTTGTCAGATCCTTGCTTTGGATGTTGCTTCCCCAGTTGGAATATGGGTAGAAGAAGAAGATAGAAGGGCCCCAGTACTGAAATGAAAGTGCAGCAAGTCTGGGCTTTAGTTAACTTCTGGGGAGACCCTGTTAGCATATTTGCATGAAAATAGTAAGTTGAATAAAACAAGGTTTCTACTTTGGAGGAAGCTGGTTGCTGTGAGATGGAAGAAGTGTTCTGGCTGGACACTAGCAGAGTAAGAACTACTGTAGGCTTGCCACCATAGCACCTGTAAGGTTCTAACAAGTATATTCGTTGAGCCTTTGTCCTGCACCAGGACAATTTTTATCACCATTTTACAGATGAGAAAACTGAGGGTTTGGGGTCAGTAACTAGGCCAGAGTTGCGGCTTACTGAGCTGCAGAGCCTGGACGTGAATCCCAATGGGCTTGACCCTAAAGCCTGTGAAGCTACTTGCTCTTCACCACCTAGAGCTGTGGTTCTTAATAATTGTTAACTCTTTTGGGGTCACAGATAACCCTGAGAATATGATAAAAGCTGAAGCCATGACCTTTCTGTCCAAACATGAACAGGCCCTTGGGTAAGAGCCCCTGGTCCAGGGTACATTTATCTTGATTCTCATAAGCAGCACCCATGGATGACAGCCACAAACTACACTGTGGCAAACTGAATCCTAGGACCCAGCCCAGCTATGCCCAGTCATCCTGTTCATAAGAAGCTCATCATAATGAAGGAGGAGTAGAGCAATGAGGTGACCTAGTGGATGTGGCCTCATTGTTTTCTTGAGTGACAAGAACAACAATAACAACTAAACACAGGAAGCTTCACAGGTGACATCTGACCCCAAGTCAGCATGTTTTTTTAGGTGCTCTTGAGGAGCTTTAGAGCTGGCCGAGGAGGTGAAACTAAAACACGTTTGGCAAGCTGAGGAGAGTACCAGATGGGATTGAGAAGAGCTAGATTAGACAGGTGACCACAGGTGTAGGTAAGGGGCTTGCCTTAGGATCATGTAAGTTCTTCTCTCAGTTATGCCCAGTGACTCCTTGAGTGTTTCTCATTGGCCATTTTTTTTTCTGTTGTTGCCTCTTAGAGTGTGGAGTTGGATTGGGGCATCCCCAAGGCCCCTCTATGTCTCTGAGAGGCGAGGCTGGTGGTAGCAGATGAACTAAGGATGAGCAAGCGCTTGCCTACCCACTTTCTGTATATGTCTAATCTTCCCCCCTCATCACTTCTCCAACACTGGCCTCATGAACCCCATTCTACAGACAATGGTCAAGTAGCTTAAGAACGTCCATCTGATGCCAAATTTCTGACTTGGGTTGGATTTGTTCAGAGGAGGTGGGTCTCTGGGATCTGGGGAATGCTTCAGGTTTGTGTTGAAGCATTTGTATTTGTATCTCAAAATTGCTTCAAAGAATGGATGTTTCACCGTGTGTTTTTCTTCTCGATTTCCACAGGCCACTTTCCAAATAAAGCCATGCCCTCTGCGGGAACACTTCCTTGGGTTCAAGGGATTATCTGTAATGCCAACAACCCCTGTTTCCGTTATCCGACTCCTGGTGAGGCTCCTGGGGTTGTTGGAAACTTTAACAAATCCATGTAAGTACCAGATGAGGTTTTCTTTCCCTAACTTGTCAGTTAATACTTTTCCTTTCCTTCTTGTTCTTCGGAGAATGTCTGGATTTGAGTGGAGTTGATTTTGCAAAGTGTTTGTGTGATAAAGTCTGCAGAACGAGGGAAGAGAGAATTGAGGCCTGGATTTAAGACTCTGGGACCCTCCTTTGGTGCGTTTTAGGAGTAATGATATGTAGCCGAAAGCAGTGTGGTGATTGGGGTCATTCCTTCAGATACTGGCTAGTAAGTAAGGAAAGATGACATAGCACATCAAATCTATCTGTTAGTCTACTCATTCAGTACACATTACTACGTATCCGAATTGGCTGGTTCTAGGTGTTTTGGGGGGCAGGGGTAGGGTACAAAGATGCTGGAAGGGTCCCTGCCCTTAGGGAGCTGACAGCCAAGGCTGGGAGAGTTCTCTCCTTTCTGCATCAGATCACCTCTGTGACCTCTGTTGCTGCCCCTATCAGACCACAAGACCTGCTGGTCTTTCTCTGCCCTGGGTGTGTGAGCTCTTTGAGGGCAGGATGCCGCTTTCATTGCCTTTGTATTCCTGGCTTCTGACTTCCATGCTGGACATAAGTACCGGCTTAGTAAGTATCTGCCAAATGAGACACTGAAGAGTCTTCCAATGCACAGAACCATGACATGACTCAGAATGGACAAAGGACTGTGGGATACATCTAAGACAATCCCAAGGAAACTGCAGCTGGGGCAGGCAGGGCCACATTGCAATGTTCATGGACCACAGATTGGCTTTTAGCCTTCATGGGCTCCTTCTTCCATACAAAAATGATATTTTATGACCGTGTTGGTATAAAGATTAATATAATCCAGGCTGGATTCATTAAAACATTTTTATGTGCCCCTAAGAGTATCCTGGGCCCCAGGCATTGAACTTACTATGTACTATGTCTCCATAGATAAGTTGGCCCGGGGAGGGGGTGTAAGATCTGGGTTTGTAGACACATGGGCGAGGACATTTGAGGCAGGGTTGATGGGTGTGTGGGGGAGTGATCAGAGAAGCTGGGTATGGAGAGCCGTGGGAGCGGGCCAAGGCCTGCCAGTGGAGACTTGGGAGCCAGACTGCACCATGTGTAGTAGCAGTCCCTTTTTTAAAGCAGGAGAGGCAGCTGGCCTAACTAGAGCTTTTCTCATTTCTTGCACCCTTTTCAGTGTGTCTCGCCTGTTCTCAGATGCTCAGAGGCTTCTTCTATATAGTCAGAGAGACACCAGCATGAAGGACATCCACAAAGTTCTGAGAACATTACGGCAGATCAAGAATTTCAGACCAAGTAAGTGAAAGCCTTCTGTGCATCGAAGTGTACTTGGAAATTGACCTGTGCCAGGGAAAGAGAGCAGCCTAGGTGGCCTGGGGCTTGTTCCCTTTTGCTCTTCCCTATAGAGTTTTCCTCCTCAGTGGCTGGGCTGTAGGGACCCTCTGCAGGAGGTATTGAAGAAGAAACTAGGGTTGGTTGCCACAGACAGTGACGTACTAGACTCTGGGGAGAAAGAAGAAAAATCCCTAGAGAGGGTGGCACGAGCTCAGCATTAGGGACAGCTAGGGGTGCAGGTTGCTGCCAATTTCATTTTTTTTTTTTGGAGTTGGCTATGTGGTTGCAGTGAATGACACATTTATAGACAGGAAATACTTCTGTACATGTAAGAGCAATTAAAGTTGCAACTTGATATGGATAAGTGAAAGTTAAGCATTTATTTCTAAAAAGAAAATGCAATTCATTTTCCCCTCGTCATTTGGTTTAGTCTGATGGGCATTTGAACTCTGATCTTTAAAAAGTGAAATCTGTACCTCTGATCTGGTAAGTACCTGTATGCATCAAGGAAGTGTCTCAGGAGCAGGCACTTTGCTGACTGAGGCTTTGGCTGCTGAAATCACCAAGCAACCTCCCAGGCGGAGGCCTGCCAAGGGGACAGTGACTGGTGAGAGCAGTTCACTGAGTGTAGTCAATAATGGTGCACATGGTCTACAGAGAATTTAAGAGCAATAACAAAGCTGACTAAAAGTTGGTCTGTTTTTTTATTATCACCATGCACTGGTGGTACTAAACAATGTGGGTGATAAATTATTCTTCCTCACCACAGTCCAACTGTTGCCACTGCGCTAGGGAAGTACTTCTCATTCAATTTGGTGTTTGGGGAGGAATAGATCAGGCTGGGCTGGCCTTTGCTGAACGGCCTACCAGTTTGTTATTCACTTTGCGAAAGAAGAAATGGTATAAAGTGCTAGAGTTTAAACCTGATTCGGATTGGAGCTTTTGGTCAGACAGAACAGTGCTTTTCTTGGGCAGGAAAAAAGGCAGTGGGCAATGTGAGGTCTGATGACAAAGGGAAGCAAAGCTGTATTGGGGGTGGCATATTGGAGGTGTTTCTTCACAGAAGAGAGAGGAGAGAAAGGTGTGGCTGTGCCTGGGGCTTCCAGTTGGGACACTCCTGGCTGTGTGACCAGGCCATCTGGATGCTGTTTCCTTGTCCTGCAAGCCCTGGTCTTGCTCATGGGTGTCTCTTACTGTGCAGGAGACAGAGAAGTAGCAAACACTAACCACAGCCTCAGTCCTTCCTGATTTATGGGAGGGCCTCTGCCTGGCCCACCAGAGGCAGAGCTGAGGATATTTCTTCTACCACCAAGAGACAGTGTGGCACAGAGTAAAGAGTGTTAGCATGCATTCATTACTTTGTAGCTGAGTGACTTTGTGAATATGTTAGTTAACATCCTTAGAGGCACCTCTTCCTGTTTGGGGATAATAGGAGACCCTATCTAGGATTGTTATGAGTAATAAATGAGATGAAACATTCAATTGCTTAAGAACAGCATTTGGCACATAGGAAACACTTAGTGAATATGAACTGTGATTATTTTGGAGTGGTGGCATCTCAGCCAAGCCATTTAACCTCTCTGAGCCTTAATTTCCTCAGCTATAAAATAGTAGCTAACTTGCAAAGTGAAATGCAAAACCTAATGCAGTGTCTGGCATGTAGTAGGTGCTCAATAAATGAGAGCGAGTCTTCCTATAGGTCAGTGATGCATTTCTGAGTATTTGGCCTTATTTTTATGCCTCTCAACTTGTGCAGCTGTTAAAAAATAGACTGACGGATGTGGACTAATGGTCAAGCAGAGTTTTGGAGCTTAATGTAGACTTCCTTAAAAATACCACTGTTTTTCTTCTTTGAGCAACTGAAGACATGAGTCAGTGTGGAGAAGAGAAGCCAAACCTGTGTCCAAAAACCACACACCTGTGCACAGCTCTGAGAAGAGAAGGTCTCTTCAATTTTGATCGTGTCATGTTAATGCTTGTTTCACACCTCTGTTCACCCAGTCTGTCCCCTTTTCTGCCCTACAGCTATTTCTTAAATTCCTTCCATCTTTCTTTGCTTGTCTTGCAACACAAAGCCAGATTTCAGTCTAGAGGGAAATGCACAGAAAAGCTGCTTCTTCTTACAAGAAACCAGTAACATTTTGCTAATTTTGAATAGCACTCTAGATCTCAGAGAGAATTTGAGGGTGGGATATGCTAATGTAGATCCCTACTTAGAGCCACATACTCATCTGCATTGACACTGGATCATAGCGTGATGGGCTTAACTCTCTTGTCCTGTCTCTGTCAGGGCTGGAAGGATCCTCAGAGCTGGTTGGCCTGGTGTTCCATCCTTATTCACCCTCTGCCACACACCCACCTCCCCAGGGGGGCTTGCCTCTTACTAGGTAGCTTGTTCTGGGTGTTGACAGCTCTTATTGTCAGAAAATATTCACTACCTGGCTATACTTCCCAGATAATTAGTTTAATTCTGTTTCCTTTGAAATATTTGAAGATAACTCTTGTGTTTTTTTCCTCTTTTCCCAAAGTTTGTGATTTTTCTAGGCTAAATGTCCTCCATCCCTCCCAGGGAATGTTTCTCCTCCCTAATTTTTTTCCTCTCCTCTGGTTGTGTTTTGGTGTGTCTGTGAGCTTCTTGAAGTTTACCAGAAATTACAAAAGAATTCTAGCACAGAGGAGAAAGGGACTTTTCCCTCACTTGCTCTGAGTGCTCTATTTCTGCGAATGCAATAGGAGATTGCATTAGGTTTTTTGGCATTCACGTCACCCTGTTGACTCATATTCTACACGCAGTCAACCAGAATTGCAGAGTTTTTTAAATACACAGAATTGCAAGTTACTTGTTCTCTATTTCTTTGTTGTGCTTTTCAAAAATTAGCTTTTTGAACTACAGGGAAGATATCTCTTTTCTATTTCATGTTTTTAGATTCCCTATGCCATCTCATCCTACCAAAACCCTCTGAGATTCTGATTTTACCATGTATTTTATCTGTTGCTTCTTTCCTGTCATCTAGAAATTTGATAAATAACTCTCTTTGCTCTCATCCCTTCATAACTGTAGGCCACGGCTTGAGGCTTGGATCAGCCTAGTGGAGACTAACAACCCCTTTGGATACTACCACTCAGGGTCTTAGAGTGCTACCAGCCTGTGTCGTTATCAGTGCTGGAACACTGGGCTCCTGCTTCTGTGATGCAGTTGGAGGATCTAGTTTGTTCTTTCCTTCAACTTGTATCTTCTAAATCCATTGGTCTATCCACAGATGACTGTGGATATGGAGTTCTCATTCTCTATGCAGACACTCTCTTCTAGTCTCACGGTTTCCTGGACTAGAGCATCATTTTATTTCCAAATATTGGAAGAGATATTAGAGATTATTGAATTAAGTTGTAGATAAATGGGTTGATGATTTAATTACTCATCCAGTATTTATGGAATACCTCAGATGTGCCAATCACTGTTTTAAGTGCTAAGACAGAGGCATACAAAATAAATCTGGTCTCTGTCCATATGGAATTTCTAGTCTAGAAAAGAATCTGACCCAGGATGGGGAAGTGATTGTACCAAGTTTATATAACCATGAAAAGGATATTCTGAGAATGGAACATGGCTAACCCTTGCTACTCTATGTAGTTCTCTTTCTACAGTGCTCTCTTGTGCTGTTTTAATAATCTTTCAACTGGGAAGACCTCCAGTTTTAGAAATTAAGTCATAGACAAATCTTCTAATTATCCTTGAAGTCATCCTAATGAGAAATCCAAGGAGGAAGCCGTATAGAGGTGCCTCACCCAGTTTTCTCACCACTGGAACCTTTTGGACATTTTATTATTTTCTTTCTAAACCAGAGGATAACCACACAGGTTGAGTGATAGCTAAATTAATCTTTGGGAGTCAGTATAGGCGTATTCATTCTTTTTAATTCCCTATCATGATTGCTACTCAAAGGAAACACAAAAATTGGATAGATACTCTGAAATCCGAGAGAAAGTGACATGTCTATATTCTGTCTCTGTGAGATGCAGACTGGCAAAGGTGGATGTTTCTCCATGTGAGTTTTATGTGGGATCTGAGATGACTTCAGACAAGATACGAATGACAACTTTTAAGTTTAACCCATATCAAATTGCAACTTCGTGTATATTATTGCCTAGGAGGATGTTCACTAGGAACAAAATAATTACAGTTAATTTAAAAGCAAGTTAACTTTATGTGGGTATAGTAAAATTTGTGAGAGTAGTTTGTAAATTACAAGATTGAAGATTGGAAAAACACTGGTATCAAAGTAGAGTTTTGGGCTTTATTTTAAGATTCACTTTGGGAACAAATTCAGGCCTTACCCCTCATTCAGTGTGAACTTTGGGCAAGAGTTGTTTCTTTCTGACTCTTAGTTTACCCAAAATGCGGAGATTAGCTTCCCTGCGGGTCATTGAGCATTAAATCACATGGTAACTGTGGATGACTAGTAGTGAGCTCATAACCCATCATTGACACACAATAAATTTGAATTACTTTGCTTCCTCTTCTGTTTCTGCCTGACCGTGTGACCTTTGCCAATTTGTTCAACCTCCTGGACCTCAAGTTTCCTTGCTTCAAAATTGGGATTTCAGTTAAACAACCTAAAATGCTTAATGTTGGAAACTTGGTCTGTACTAGGATGGGAGATCATCTAGGACTGACAGGGATGTGGGCTGTTCATTAGACTACAACCTCTTGAGGGCGGGTTAGGGCCTTGTCATGGTTCTATCCCAAGCATCAGCACAGTAGCCAGAGCACAGTAAGCCATCAGCGAATCTTTGTGGAATGAAGATGAGAGAAGATAAAATACCTGCCCTTTTTCCTTTGTAGAGCATTGTAAGGGTTAAGTAGAAGTGCTTTGAAAAATTGTATTGTAGAGTTGATTCCCTGTGTGTGCCAGGTCAACAGGATTAGGCACATAAAATAATAAGGATGACAGAAGTTCTTA